TTTCCTTCTTAGAATTTCTTCCTTTATAATCCTTTCAGTCCAAGTTTCTCCCCTTGGCCAATTCAGTAACGGATATTCCCTGTCTATGTGGCTCTTTAAAAAAAATAAAATAGGAGATTACCTCCTTTCTAGACTCCGTTTGTTTTGTTCTATAGTTATTTGCTATTAATATTTAAACACATTCTTAACAGGCTATCCCTAATGAGTAATACTTTTTACAAAACACATTATCCCTCAGCTATGTACTGCTCGGAGGCAGTATAAATTGCATAAATTATCCTGCTGATGTGAAAAATCGGAGCCTTTAGCCACCTCCCTCATCAGTGGCAACATTTCACCCTTGTTTTAAGCAATGTCATGGGTTCTCAGCCCCCTTTCTACCTTTAAAATCACTGAAGACTCCAGAAGGATTCTTTCTGCGAATCACCTCCACTGGTATTTGCCATGTTAGAAACAAAAACTGAGACACTTAAAATATTCACTTGTTTGTTTATGAAGAACAGTCATAAACCCAATGCCTATTAACAGAACATGCTTTATGAAAAAATAATCATCTTTTCCAGAACAAAGAAATTTTAGTGGTAAGAGCGGCCTTGTTTCTTTTCATTTTGCAAATCTCCTCAGGGCCCGGCATGACAGAGCAGCTGGAATCGGTGTCTGTGTTGGAGCCGCTCTGGCCCAGCGGTGTTTCGGCCTTAGGAGCAGAACCAGTTTGGGAGGGACGTGAGTTTGGGGAAGGGAGCAGACAGCAAACCGACGTGATGTGGGTCACGTGTAGGTTCCAAAGGCACACGAGCAAGAGCAGCAGGGCTAAGGTCCAGAGTAGCAAGAGTGATACCCGGCCACGCCAGGTGGCGTGAGGCTCAGGAAAAGCCTCCCTGGGTGAGCCTCGTCCTGAAACCTGAATGGCCGGCAGCGTGGACATAAAGCTCCAAGGAGCTCCGGCAGGGCCCTGCCAAATGCAGTCATTCTCAAGGCCATAATAATGGGTCATCGACGTGTGATATCACTACTTAGCTATTTTTATTAGCTAACAATAAGCGCCTTTAAGCTTTCATCAGATTGTAAATGTTCTGACGTTTCCATGAATTATAAATGTAATTATCGCACCAGATGGCCCCTTTCTCTAGGCTTCTCCTGAAACATCCTTTCGGCTTCCCCTCCCTGAGGGTCCCCTGCCTTTGATCCCTTCTGGAAGTTGCCAGGCCTTTGAAGGACAGGCTGAGGGATATTCGTTAACCCCTTCCCTCAAGTTCTTGCCAAGCTCAGACATGCGTGGGAAGCAGGCACTAAGGGGCTAAAGAAGGCCTTTGGGTCTTTGGATTGTTTTGGGTCACGTCCCAGGAACGGCAGCTTTTCCTCTTTCCCAGGAGGGTGACTCCTCTCTTGGTGGCTATGAATTGAGTAGGCAACTACCTTTAAGGACAAGTTCACACACGTTCCATAATTGATACATGTCTAACATGTAGCAAAAGTCTGGAACAGCTACAAAGTAGTTAACAAAGTAACAATGTTTTAAGTTGAATATAGCTTTCCATGGAGGTGGCCTACTGTCACGTGGTTTTCACCCCCCCCCCCCGGGTCTGTGCCCTCCCTCCCGGCCTTGACGGCCCCGTGGACATGCGCTGGTGGGCATCCTGGGCACACAGCTCGCTCACTTCTCAAGGAAGAAGAAAGTGAAGCGTGGAAAAGGCAGGGTGATTTCCCCAAGGTCAAAGACCTGATCAATAACACAGTTGAGATTAGACTCTTGGCGTGTCTCATCTCCAAGCCCAGGATTTTGTAATATGAATAATACGTGTTTTCACAGATAGGATTCTTATTACTTCTAATAATCCCACCAGGATTTCCCAAATCCTCGCAGTATTTTATTTTTTCTGGTGATGCGCCAAATAACAAGTATAGAAAAGAAATTCTTCCGAGCTTGCTTCCTCGTTGATTATCGGAATTTTATTACAGGACCCCCTTGGGGGTGTGATTCCCGGACTGGGAGCTTTCCCTGGACACCCCGCCTTTGTTCAGAGCCCTGGCCCTACGCGGAGTGGCCAACAGAGGGCGCCCTTAGCCCTCCGTCCCTCCCTCCGCAAGGCTGGAGGGGCAGTGAGTACCGGGGCGTTTTTGTCAGAGCAGAGGACAAAAGGTCCCCCGGGTGCAAGTGGCAACAAGTGAGACCTTTTATGACTCATGTTCAGGATTTACACGTGGTCATTTCCACCCACATTCCACTGGCCAAAGCATGTCGCATGGCCCGGCCAAGTGAGGGGTCACGAAGTGCACGCCCTCTGCGCACCCGAGACGGTCTCGCCGCGGGCGCTGCCCGCCAGCAGGGCGCACTGCCGCAGAGGCGCGAGGGGCCAGGACCGGTAAGTCCACCTACCGCGGTGCCCAGGAGCCCTGCTGGAGGTCAGAAAGGTGCCCTCGCCGCGGTTCCCTAGGAGTATGTTGCGCGATGTGGCTTCTTTCAGTTGCCGGGGCTGGGCGCTGCAGCAATGCAAGAGGAGGGAAGGCGGCGCCAGGCCGTTGGCCCCCGTAAAGAACTATGGTGTCGATTCCTTGCGTGTTCCTTGCGTATCTATCGCCACCCACCCACAGAAATCCGTCCTGCCGGGCTGCCACGCCCCGTGCAGACGAAGACGAAGTCCCCACGGAATCTCCCAACGCCAGGGTGGCAGCGGACCTCAGACGACAGCTGGTGGACTCCGGCTTCTTCAAGATGAGGAGGCCCAGGCGGAGCCCAGCGCCGTGGCATGCAAAGCCACTCACACAGGGATGACTGCGCTGTCTTGTCCCTGCTCCAGCCTCCTGTCACTACGGGGAAGTCTTGTTGACAGCGACTTGTACAAAGGCGGGTCCCAGGACCACAACGGAGACCATGGAGCACAGAGTTCAAAGGCCAGAATTCAGGAGGGCCCCCGCTGCTTGGCCTCGTGCCGGAGACACGAATCGGAGTTGCGTGAGAACAACTGGGGCCCTGCCGCTGCGCCCAGAGTTGCCCGCAATGCCCCACGCCCGCCTCCTTGCCGGTGCCCTCCTGGCTTCTCGATCTCAACCAGCCCTCTCCTGGGAATGAGACGGCGCGGCCAGTCAGTGCGGCCAGTCAGCTCGCCACCCCTGCCCGGGAAGCGCTAACTGTCCACACGCAAAGCAAAAAGTTCTGACACCCCCTCCCCCGTATTTGAGTAATGTTCTCCATCCTCCGACGAGGCCCTAATCACACTCCAAAGACGTGTCTGTCACAATGTGTGCTGTGTATTCGGAGCTGCACCCTCGCCTCTCCCACAGCAGAGAGAAGCCGAGTCCGCACACGCGAGTGAGTACAGTCGGAATGTCCACACACACTTTCCCGCAGGCACACAGGTCTTGGGGCCAGTCTTGCACAGGTGGGCACAGGTAACCAGGTTCTTGGTGACCTCGGACAAAAAAAGTGAACCAAACACACAGTTTATAGCAGAGAGCGAGAGAAAGCAGATTTATTAAGCCACATAGAACATGGGGGTCAACTCTGAGCTAGAGCGGAGCTGAGCGGAGCCTACCAGCTCTGACCTCAGGGCTAGAGGGCTTTTGTTCTTACCGGGCGGGTCTCTCCTGGCTGGTTTTGGCAGCTTTTATTGCGCACGTACAAGTAGTTATATTGTTTTTAATTTACTGCGCCTGTGGCCTCCCATGATTTCCTTGATTGGCTACCAGGAAGGGGGTCCCGCAATGTTCATTTACTCTAACGTTATTATAAGGAAGCAGGGGTCCGGCAGCATCTTCTGCACAGGTCCATCCCTGATGCACTGGGACTCAGTGCCTTTCCAGAAGCAGGAGCTGCCGGTCCGAGCCCAGGGTCTCCACCCTTTACCCACGTTCTCTGTCTTAGCCCTGGGCACCTCTGCAGTTTCTTCCTTCCTATCTCCTGCCTCAGCCTGAAACGTGAGACAAGTCTCCCTCCTCGACCAAACGACCTGACCGCCAGGCCCCTGGGAGCTCGTCTCCACCAGGCCTCTACCTGGAGCACCGCCCCCACTCCTGTCCTCGGCCCAACCAGCCGGGCTTTGGCAGGAACGCGCTGAGTCATTTTAGAGACGCCCCCAGCCACCCTGGGTTAGGTGTCAGCGGAAGGAGTCCTGTTAAATCAGTTGAGCAAGAATCCCTCACCCCTCGTGCCCCCCGCTTCACTCTCACCCGCAGGCCCCCACTCCGACTGGCTGCACCTCCCCACCTGTCTGAATTCTGAATTGAGTGGGTGTCTCTCCCCGTTTTCCGATAGCCTGGACACCTATCTCAATACTCCCCAGAAAAGTCTCTCTTTCCGTTTTAACAAGTGTCAGAATAATTTTTTTTTTTTTTCCCTTAAACGCGTTCCCAACAAAAACCCAAGCCCGAAATCTGCTCCTGGACCAAGAAGGGCTCGGGGCTTCTTCTCTCGCTTCTGGGGTGCTGTTCGCAGGCGCTCACAGCGCCTCGGAGCGTCTCGGGGAGGATCCTAGCAGACACTCCCTCCGTCCACGAGATTCCATGTTTGGGGTTTAACAGGCAGCGGCTACACAAACCAGGAAGTTCCTTCTCCACGCACGTTACCAAGTTCGCACACATGCCCGCTGGAATATACCAGGACGGTCCCCCAACACCGTGTACACGCACGGCCCCCGCCCCGCGCAGCCCCCTAGCCTGGCTGCTCTGCACAGCGCACTTCTCGAAGCAGAAGAGCGTAGCCCGGGTGCAAACCGCGGGTGAGTGCCCGGGAGCGCAGGGGCGCGTGCCCCCGGTCACGCACGTTAAGACGCAGCCCCGGACTGTGCCTGCTGCCTCCACCGGAGGTCGCGCGCAGCCCCCGGGAGGCCGAGTGCGCCCGGGAGCGCGGCTGCGGGAGGGGCGCGCGGAGCGGCCGGAAGCCGCGGGAGGAGGGTGGGAGCGGGCGCGTCCCCGGGCGCAGGGCCTGGTGACATCAGCGCGCTCCGCCCCTCGCCTCCCAACACCCTCCGCTCGCGGCCGGACCCTCCCTCTCCCACCACGTGTCCTCGCGCTCCCTCCCGAGGGGCCGCGCGCTCGGGCCGCCGGAGAGACGGCCGGGATGGCGCTGTGACAGCCGGGCCGGAGCTCTCGGCGTCCCCCGCGTCCCGGCCTGAGCCCCGGCGGTCGGCCCAGAGGTGAGTGCGCGCGGCGGCGCCGAGCGCGCGCGTGGGGCGGGGGCGGGGGCCCTCTCGGGCTGGGGCGGCGGGGCGGGGGCCGGGCTGCAGCTGCACGGCCGCCGCCTTTGTTGCGGGCCGGCGGGAGGCGGGCGGCGCCGGCGCTCGGCAGGTGCGCGGGGCTGGACCGGGCCGGCTGCGCGGGGGCCGCGGAGAAGGGAACTGGGACAAGATGGCTGGAGGGACCCGAGCGGCCCCGGGCGCGGGCGGCGGGCGGCGGCCAGGCCGCGGGCACCCCGCCTCCCGCCCCCGACCGGCTGCCCGGGAGCCGGCGGGGAGGCCGCGGCCAAGTTGGGCCCCCGGCTCCAGGATGTGAAGCCTGTTCCGCGCGCCCAGACCCCTCCCTGCTGCATTCGCGCGTCCTTTCCGGAAATATGGAAGAAGCCGACTTTGAACTCGGGAGCGCTGTTTCCTCCGGCCGCCCGGGAGGACACGGCCCCCGAGACGCGCCCCCGCTGCGCACCTAGCGACTGCCCGCCCTGTGGTCCGGCCTCCGCACCCGCAGACGAGGGCCTTTGCGCCCGGCGACAGCGAGGCAGCTCCCCGGGGCCGGGCCCGGCCGATTGGCGCGCCGTCCTGGGTGTCCAGGCGTCACCCCTCACTGTGTGTCGCTGGCCCCAGAATGGCCATTTTCTGAGTCGGCTGGTGGACAGAACCTTTGAATCTGGGAAGTCCATGTGGCGGCGGTTCTGAGCCGAGCCTCCTGAGGCGTCAAGGGCCGGCCGGAGCGAGTGTCCCATCTGTGCTCCGACACCTTCGCTGACAGGACGCCGGCAGCCCTCTGGACCGCGTCCACGGTTGGGTGGCCCTGGCGGCCAGCGTCCTGCCTTGCCCTGCGCTCTTCCGGGATGTTTACCGACCGCCGGTTCTGCCCTGGGATCTCTACGGAACCAGTCTGGCCTCTTCCACGGAGTGCTTTTTAAATTTTTTATTTATTGATTTTAGAGAGGGAGAGGAAGCAAGAGAGACAGAGGGAGAAGCATCGATTTGTGGTTCCACTCACTTACGCGCTCGCTGGCTGGGGGATTCTCGGATGTGCCCTGACTGGGGACAGACCCCGCAGCCCTGGTGTCCCGGGAGGGCGCTCCGGCCCGCGGAGCTCCCTGGCCAGAGCCCCGGAGAGCGTGTAAATATTTGAAGGCGGCTAAGTACGCTCTCCGCCTGCAGCCTCTCCTTACATCAAACGCATCCCCTTCCAGCTTCCTGGGGCCTGCGCCCCCTTCCGTCATGAGGGCCCGCGGAGCTCAGAGCTAAGAGGCCGTGCTGGCAGCGCCCGGCCCCCCATCCAGGCCAGGAAGCGTGCCCGCTGGTCTGATCTCTCCAAACGAATCTTGCCCGCAGACATGGAGGCCACAGCCTTCCCTCTGAACCTGACCCTGAAAGTGGAGGAAAGGGAAGAAGAGATTCCGAGCCCCGATCTGGGGGGCGGCCCCACAGACACGCAGAAGGTCCGCATCTGCTCCGAGAGCGCGTGGGTAAGTCCAGGGTGGCGGGGGGCGGGGGCCGCCGAGCCACGGGCCCTGCGAGCCGGGCTCCTGCGGAGCCTCCTCCCGGAACAGACACAGGAAGTAAAAATAGCCCAGCCCAGCCCTGCTCCGGGTGTTTGCATTCCTGAGAAAACAGTGCTGTGGCTTTAAAAGGCGCCGTGGAAACCGAGCTGGTTACCTGAGCGGGCCCGCCCGTCCGGGCGGCCGCGGCCCGCCCCTCCTGGACCCTGCGTTCCCTGCACCCCGAGTGTTTGCTGACTTACGTTAAAGGAAAAATGCCCTGGCGTTTGTTAGGATGGTAAGGAAGGCTCTGCTGAGGACAGCCGAGAAAGCGGTCAGGATGTCACCATAGGGGACAGCGGTCTGGCCCCACCCCGAGTAAAGACAAGTGGCACCTTAGAGCCAGGCGGCAGTGTAGGGGGCCTGTGGATGAGAAAGTAGCTGCGGGGGGCCGGGGGGGAGGGTTCTTGCTGAAGGCAGGCCAGGGTGAGCGGCCGTCCAGGGCCAGGGGCCGGGTGGTTTCTAAAGAGACTTCGCAGGTTCTTGCTAAAGCTGAACTGGGCGGGCCAAGGACAGGAGGGACCTCGGGGAAGGGGGCCGAGAGCCGCCTGACGCAAGTTGGGGCGAGGAGGGAGCCTGTCACCTGCTGCTGGTGGCAGGGAACCCCTTACAGCGAGACCTGGGGTCACTGGGCGATGTGGGGACAGCCGCGCTCCCAGCGGGCCTGGGCGGAGGGGCTGGGGGGCGGCCGCTGGGACGCGGAGCACCCCCAGACGGGACAGTGGGCGAGGACACCGGCTCCCTTGCAAACACGCTGACGCGGCGGACAGAGTTATAATCCAGTCTGACTGTTCACAGTCCTCACGGGACCTCATGACGGGCGGGTGTGAATGGTAAACGTTTTCCACGGGCAGGAAGCTGACGTTCCTTTTCTCAGCCGAGTCTTCCTTTGCTCCTGGACATCGTCAGCGCCGTCACCTCCTGCGTGTCCCGTGACGTCTGTGGTCAGAGGGGTGGTGTGGCCAGGTCAGTGGCCCCCATCCCACCCGGGGGAGCAGGGGGCCGATGCTGTGCCCCAAAGACACACGTGCTCACTGGTTGTTCTTGAAACGCCTCCTGAGCTGGGCCCTCAAGGCTACGTGTTTGCTGCCTGTGTCCTGCCTCAGCAACATGGAATAAAAACGCGACGTCCCCACCAGGCTGTGGGCCGACGGTCCAGCTGCGGAGGCCGCACTGTGCCTGCCTCTTCTGTGTCCTTGCCCGCCTGTCCTCCTGGTTCCCACCCCCGGTACCTGGGGACACCCCGGAGGGCAGGTGTTGGTCCCAGGGAGCTCCGAGCGACTCGAGGCTGTAGGGGCCCTGGGCTTTGAGGCTAAATCAGCCCGCCCCGCACATCTGGGTGGAGCAGAAAACCTGGGGGACAGGCGCAGGAAGAGGGGGCGTCCAAGTGTGTCGGGGCAGAGAGAAGGGTGCGGGGCGAAGACCGCGCTCCCCTGGGAAAGGCGGGAGGGAATGGTGCGCACAGTGCCGGGCGCTGTTGATGAGACAGGCCCTCCAGCGTCGCGGAGTCGTGCATCCCGAGGAAGCCCGGAAGCCAGCACAGGGCCGTGTTTGGGGTGCGGCGGTGGCAGCCGGGGGCGGGGGCCGCACTCGGGCCGTGCGGGGACTCAGGAGGCCTCCCTGCGGAGGCACGCCTGGTCCTGGGCCAGTTTTGCCCCCAGGCCCCTCCCCTCCTGGGGACGTTTGGCAAAACCTGGAGACGTCTTCGGTTGTCGCGACGCGGGGTGAGATCGGGGAGTGGGAGAGCCTGTTGGCATCTCCTGGGTAGAAGCCCCGGACGCTGCTGAGGGTCCTCAGTGCACAGGCCAGCCCCGCAACAAAGAACTGTCGGGGCAGAAGTGGCAGTTGTGCCAAAGTGGAAAAGCCGTGCCCTGGGGCATTAAAATCGGGGGCTCCTGTTCCGGGCCTGACGGGGGGGCGGAGCTGGGAGCAGGGCCGCGAGCCAGAGCCCAGATCCCGTCAGGATGCGGGGCCAGAAGTGAGCTGGCCAGGGTGTGTGGATGGAGCTGGAACTCTGTCCCCGGGGGCCCAGGCTCCCTGCGTCTCCACGGCTGCCACCGGGGAGGCCGGCCGGCCAGCGTCCGTGGGCACTGGAGGCGCTGGCCCTGCGGATCGGCCCGGGGTGCCCGCTGCTTGGGCGGGCGGGCGGGCGGCGGGGCTGAGCGGAGGGAGGCGGCGGGAAGAGTGTCCCTCCCCGCGAGGCCAGGCAGGCGGGCGCCCGACGCCTGAACCTTGCCCAGGGCCGGCCTGTGCCTCCGTTGTGCTGGGCCGGATAAAAGGCCTCTGTGGAGGGTTAGGGGCCGGCCCAGCACAGCCTGGCGGGAGCCCAGCTCGGCGGCTGTCACCGAGGGCGGCGGCGCGGGGACTGTGTGAGCCGGGCTCTGAGCGGCCCTGGAGCATAATGTGGGCTTGTGTGAAGCTGCTGGGCGGCTTGGTCACCGGCCTCCAGCCGCCTCCTCACTGCGCAGGCGCCTGGAGGATGGCTGTCACCAGGCCCAGGCGGGGCTGTGGTCCCTGAATCGACCGCCCCTTGAAAGGGCAGGACAGCCCGCTCTGCATCCCACGTTGTCCGCAGAGGGAAGGGACTATAAATAGGCACAGCCCCGATCTGGGATTTCCTTGGGGGAGCACCGGCCGAGGGGCATTGTGGGACAGCCTGGGGTGCGGGTTGGTGCGGAAACGGCCGGCCGTCCAGATGGATGAAGTCTCGAGACAGCCCAAGGCCCTGCCGGGGGGCCCTCCCGGGACCACACACGCAGGGGGTCTTGTCCGCTCTTATTGCAAAGTCTAGGCTCACTTTTGTGTCCCATAAAGCATCACAATCACTTGAGACTATTCCACATGGCGCGAGAGGAGAGCAGTTCAGAGGGTATTTGCCTAAACCACGGCAAGGTGACCAGGGAGAGCCTGGGAACGGGAGGAGCCCAGGCTCTGTCCTCGCGAGCTGGTGGCCCGGTGGGAGGGCAGACGTGCGGGCCAGAGGACGTGCCTACGCCGCGGGGTGAGCCGGGGCGGGACGGGGATGGGGACGGGGACATCCTGCTCAGGCCGGCCTCCCCAGGAATGAGACGTCTGGGCTGAGTCCCCGGGGCAGGGTGAGTGTTGGCCGGGCCAGGAATGGGGGACCTCCAAGGCAGAGTGGGGTGCAGTGGGACAGAGGGCGGGTTGCTGGGGCGCCGCTGAGCTGGGGGGGCCACCGTCGAGGCCTGGTCACCAGGGAGGCCGCTGGGCTCGGCGAAGGAGTGGCACTTGAGGCCGGCGCCATGTCTTGGCTGTGTGGCTTTGGACAGACAGGCTTCCTGAGCCTGTTTCCTCCTCGCCCGAGTGACGTGGTTGGGAGACGGCGAGTGAGCTCCAGGGACCCCTGGGGGGCACCCTGCGTGTCGGGGCCGTGGGGTGGGGAGGGAGTACGCGGACTTGGGGAGTGAGGAGGAAAGGCTGGGGGTCTAAGTGGCTGATGGCTGTGCAGAGCGCTTGCTTTCCACGCTGGTGAGAGCGTCGTCACCACCGCTGCCCGTGTCAGCTCCGGAGCGAGGGAGGGTTCGCGGTCCCTGGGGCGCGGGAGGGCCCCCAACCTGGAGCTTGGTGCTGGGGGCTGCTTCTCCCGGTGCTGCCGCCCTCGCCTGTGAGCCGGCAGGGGTGGGGAGCCCGCAGGGCACAGGGACCTGCGCTCGGTCCTCTTTTGCCTCGAGCGGCACGTGCGCGGGCGGGTGGACAGGTGGTTCCCCGGGCCAAGGCCCTCCCACTGGGACGAGGGCGGGAGGCACTGGCGCGCCCGCCAGCCTCTGAGGAAGCCCGCCCCGCCCCAGGTGCCAGCGCTCTTTGACGAGGTCGCCATCTACTTCTCCGACGAGGAGTGGGAGGTCCTGACGGAGCCGCAGAAGGCCCTGTACCGGGAGGTCATGAGGATGAACTACGAAACGGTGCTGTCCCTGGGTAAGGCGTTGTGTTCTCTGTCTCCCGGGAGCGGAGCCCCGAGGGCGGTCGCCGGGCCCCCTGGGAGGCGGAACCAGCGTCCCTGTCTCCTGGCCTCGGCCTCTGACCCCTCAGCGCCTGTACCCGTTTGACTTCCTGTGTTCGTCTCGGGCCGGGGTACGAGTATTGTGTCCTTCTAGTCAGTAGGCTGTGCTGGCCGCAGGCCAGGCCTCATTCAACCCAGGCGTCTGCATCAAAAACACCCAGGTGTAACCTCCTGAGAGACGTCAGCGTGGGTCTGGGCCTGCACGTCCCACGTTCCCGGGCCTCATGTCCCTCCTGTCAGCCTCAGACGCTGGGGGCACCGCCCCAGAGCACCTTGCTCCCCTCCCAGCCTAGACAGGGGTGGGGGTCAGGACCCTAAAGGACCGGCGTTGGCAGAGTGCCGAACCCGTGTCACTTCCTCCGGACAGAGTTCCCGTTCCCGAAGCCGGACATGATCTCTCGGCTGGATGGAGAGGAGGAGCCTCAGCACTCGGACACGTGGCAGCTCCAGGGAGGAAGCCTCGCAGGTAGGCCCAGCGCCCGCCCTGCGGGGGCTTCAGGCCGTGGGGACTTAAGTTCTGCGTTTGTTCCGTGGGGCATGTGAGAGGCAGTAGGTTGTGAGGCAGGCAGAGTGTGGGCTTTGGAGTTTCGAGATCTCCTTTCCAGCGCTGCATGGCCTCGGGCCACTTCTTGGACCTCTCTGAGGCCCCACGTCTTCCTCTGTCCACTGTGGGTAAGTGTGTCGAGGTGCGAGCGCGTGTGTGGACGAAGCGAATGGGAGCTCGTGTGGCGCGGGGCCCCGCACGCGCCCGAGGGGCTCCGTTCACGCGCTCCCTGTGGGGAGCAGTGCCAGACGCCACATCGCTTCGGTTCTCACACACGGGCCCCCCGCGTCTCTGAAACGGAGAGCGCCTCTTAAAATTACAGCGCCTCTTGCAGCAGGTGACACCCTGGTTTCGGTGAGATGTGGTTGCGTCCCCGAGCGCATTCAACCTTTGGGAGCCCCGCCCCTATAAACGCCCAGCGGGGACCCCTCCCGACACTGGGGGCCGAGAGTCCCTCCTCGGCCTGGGAGGCTTCATTGGCGGGGTGTTGTCTCTGCCGTGGGGACTGTGATCCGGCCCGGGACGCAGCCGCACCCTTTGCTACGATGGCAGCGTGGGGTGCCTGGCGCTTCTCATCCACGTGAGAGTTATTTTGACCCAGACGTGGTCCCCCAATTTCTCTGTGGCCCAAGCTCGGTGGCTGGGCTCAGCTCTCGGCTCTGCCCCTCTGTGGTGCAGGCCCCTCGATGCCCCCCACCTCGGGCGCCCCCTCCGCAGCGAAGGGGAGGTGACCCGCAGTGGCCGTGAGAGAGTCAGGCCCGGTGGCCCGTTAGGAGGAGGTGTTCGTTACTGCAGGTCCTTCTCTGGGGGCCCCAGACGAAGGCATTCTTGGCGGTTCCACCGGCAAAGTCTGGGAACGAGCCAGATGGGTTGTGCTTACCGGTGCCGCCTGCGCCCCTCCCTCTCTGTCTTCCAGAACACGAAGACGCTGACGTCAAGCCCCCGGATTGGGCCGCCCCGCTGCACGCCCCGTCCCCGCTGCCCCCGCCGCAGCCCCTGGACAGCCTCGGCCTCCGCCTGCCTCGGGACATTGCCGAGCTGCCCGAGTGGAGTGAGGGGTACCCCTTCTACATGGCCATGGGCTTCCCGGGGTACGACCTCTCGGCCGACGAGCTGGCCGCCAAGTTCCAGTTCAGCCGGGGCATGCGCCGCAGTTACGACGCGGGGTTCAAGCTGATGGTGGTGGAGTTCGCCGAGAGCACCAACAACTGCCAGGCGGCCAAGCAGTTCGGCGTGCTGGAGAAGAACGTCCGCGACTGGCGCAAGGTCAAGCCGCAGCTGCAGAACGCGCACGCCATGCGGCGGGCGTTCCGGGGCCCCAAGAACGGGCGCTTCGCCCTGGTGGACCAGCGCGTGGCCGAGTACGTCCGGTACATGCAGGCCAAGGGGGACCCGATCACCAGGGAGGCCATGCAGCTGAAAGCCCTGGAGATCGCCCAGGAAATGAACATCCCGGAGAAAGGGTTCAAGGCCAGCTTGGGGTGGTGTCGGAGGATGATGCGAAGGTACGACCTGTCCCTGCGGCACAAGGTGCCCGTGCCCCAGCAGCTGCCCGAGGACCTGACCGAGAAGCTCGTCGCCTACCAGCGTAGCGTCCTGGCTCTGCGCAGGGCGCACGACTACCAGGTGGCGCAGATGGGGAACGCGGACGAGACGCCCATCTGCTTGGAGGTGCCGTCCAGGGTGACTGTTGACAACCAGGGAGAAAAGCCCGTCCTGGTCAAGACGCCGGGCCGGGAGAAGCTGAAGATCACCGCGATGCTCGGGGTCCTGGCCGACGGCAGGAAGCTGCCCCCCTACATCATCCTGAGGGGCACGTACATCCCGCCCGGCAAGTTCCCCAGCGGGATGGAGATCCGCTGCCACCGCTACGGCTGGATGACCGAGGACCTGATGCAGGACTGGCTGGAGGTGGTGTGGCGGCGGCGGACGGGCGCCGTGCCCAAGCAGCGCGGGATGCTGATCCTCAACGGCTTCCGGGGCCACGCCACCGACTCGGTGAAGAGCTCCATGGAGAGCATGGACACCGACATGGTCATCATCCCGGGCGGCCTGACCTCGCAGCTGCAGGTGCTGGACGTGGTGGTCTACAAGCCGCTCAACGACAGCGTGCGCGCCCAGTACTCCAACTGGCTGCTGGCGGGGAACCTGGCGCTCAGCCCCACCGGCAACGCCAAGAAGCCGCCCCTCGGCCTCTTCCTGGAGTGGGTCATGGTGGCGTGGAACAGCATCTCCAGCGAGTCCATCGTCCAGGGCTTCAAGAAGTGCCACATCTCCAGCAAGCTGGAGGACGAGGACGACGTGCTGTGGGAAATCGAGGGCGAGCTGCCGGCGGCGGAGAGCAGGGCCTAGGCCGCGTGCGGCCCAGGTAAGCGACGTGGGGGGGCTCTGGGTGTGTCCGCAGGCGCCTTTGTCCTGCTGTTGCCGTCCTCCCTGCTGCAGGTGACAGGCCATCGGCGTCGGCCCCTCCCTGGAGAGTTTCCGCGGCTGGGCTTCCCCTGTGTGCGCTTCGCTCTGTGGCCCGGGCCCTGGGGTGTGCGCGTGTGTTAACGTGGACCACGAGCAAGGGGCCGGCATCGCGCTTTGGCGTGGCGCTGCGGACGTCACGCGGCCCGAAGGCGCCAAGGCTGACTGCTGGGTTAGCAAGTTTCTGTCTGAAAAGCCCACGTGTCAGTCTCGTTAGGAACGGGGACGACCCACCTGGAGCAGCGTGCTCTCGCTCGCTGGCCTCGGGGGGCCAGCCCTTGGGGACGTCATCGAGGGTGCCTCAGGCCCTGTCCTCGGCGCCTCGGGTCTCACTCCAGGGTGGTGTCAGGCCTGGGCCACGGACAATTGCTTACGCTTGCTCTTCCCAAGTGCTTTAAAACCTCGTCTCGTCCTTCACGATAACCTTCACCTGGCGTGTGCAGTTAGATGAGCTGCTTGTAGTCCTGGGTTGTCTGAAGGCAGAGAGCTTTAAGTGGCATCTTTGCACCGCAGTAACAATGCGGTAGGGCACATGCCGGGGACTGGCGAGCCACGCGAGCCAGTGAGGACAGGCCTGCAGGGCTCAGCGTCGAGTCGGGAGGAGAAGTGGCCTAAATGGAAGCGGGTGCTGGGCTCTCCCGGAGGGGGCGGCCAGAAAGGCAGGAGACGCCTTTCACCTTCTCGTTCTCCTTCCGCTGCCTGTCAGCTGAGCTGTGCCTCCAAACACAGCGTGTGTTTAGCGTGTGGATGCCGCTCCTTCTTGGACAGGGGACCCAGAGCTGTCCCGACTCCGCTTCCTTTAAGGGTAATTAGGTGTTTCCGTCTCTTGGCTCCTTTCTCCAAATGAAGTGCTGAGAGAAGTCTTGTCACCCCACCGCGTGCCACCAGGAGCACAACGAAGTCAAGTTGTGCTCCTGTCGCTGAACCCCGCTGCCACCGTGGGGTCCCTAGAATGACAGCGGAGCTGCGGGTTCTTACTGGGACATCAGGAGTCACCAAAGTTGCTTTTTTGTCATGTTCTCTACCCGCTCACCCCCCGGATTCAGCCTCCCTTCTGTCTGACCGTTTACTGCCACCGCTGGCTATCAAGCTGTGACTTCCAGTGAGTTTTGATCCCTTTCTCATTTTACCTTTTGTTTCCTCCTTGTTAGATAACATTTTTGTGTTTTTAACTTCCTAAGCTCATTGCCACCCAAAGGACTGGGTCGGAAGCTGCCAGGAGAGGAGAGGGGACAGAGCAGAGCTTGGCTCCCCGGCGAACGGAGGCGGTGACATGTGCCACCCGGCCGCTCTGCTTGCCGGCGCTCGGGGCAGCCGCCCCGCTCTGAGCTGAGGAGTCGCTCAGAGCCGTAGACAGGGATTCCGGGAGGTCCGGGAGGTCCGGGAGCCCTGCGGGCGTCAGACGGCCCCTTTTTGGCATTGGAAATCTGACTCTTGAAATAGCTACGCTTGTCGAAAGTTATGCGCTGAGATCGCAGGGTCGATTCACACTGCGGTGGTCTCTGTTTTCCAGCACATGCAGCTGTGTGTGGAATGGTGGGGAGGAGAACCCGCGAGAAGACTGCCGGAGGCGCGGGTGCCCCGGAGCGGCAGGAGCGCAGGGAGCGGCTGGCCGGGGGAGCGCCTGGGCGTTCCGTCCGCTGCCCACGGGCGGCCACAAGTCGTGGAGCCTTGATTTCCTCAGAGACGTGACTGGGAAAGAAACCGCTTCTGTCCCCTCCTGTCGCGGCGAGTCGCGTGTCCGCCAGAAGAAACCTGTAAATACGATGAACAAAGGCATTTCCTGGAGAAGAGACCATTTGCTCAACACTCACAGAAGGCTCATACGGGGTCCCCTCTGCTGGCACCCTTTCTGGGAAGAAAACCTCAAGTCATTGTTTTCTTCTGCCTTTGAAAATGCTTCCAGGGGCGGAGCCTGTCTGTCCCCAGCAGGTCAGGACTGTGGAGAAGGCCACGCCGAGACATGTCATGTATGTACTTAACACGTTTCCCCGTTTAGAAAAAGGAGACACTACGATAACGGATTCAGACGTGCTGGCCTGGTGCCAGCCGATGGCTTTCCTATAAACAAGCCCCGTTAGTGGGGAAGATACACGTTGAAATAAACGGTGCCGTTTTACTGATCTTCCCAGGCAGGTTGGCAGCTAGACTTGGGGGCTCACCCAAGGGCCCCGCTTTTCATTAGACAGGGCAGTGCTCGGCGTACAGGCGCGCGTTCCCCGGGCTGCCTGCAGAAGTTACCGCTCTCCGCTGGCACAGGCTCATCGACTCATCGCACGCTTGTTTCGTTCGTTTCCTTAGCGTTTTCATCGCGAGGGTGGCGAGGGGGGCTTGGGCCTTCAGCCTCGGCCGTTTCGAGACTCGAACCCTCCACCCGAGGCGGAGGCCTTGGCGGTTTTACGCGGTAGCGTTTGCGTTCCCACCTGGGTCGAGCGTTGCGAAACATTCCTTCCAAGCCGCCTGCGCTACAGAAAACAGGCCGGAGCCTCCCAGACAAAGCCATCGCTAGAAATGCCATTCCAGTGTCAGCTCCGGTAACAGGCCTCTGCTGTCCTTCCTGCGTCCCCTGCTTTTTCACGTGTGGCCCAGCCCTTGGCATCTGGAAACACCTGTTTCTACTCAGGTACACTTTTTCCTACTGGTGAGACACCCTTCTCCTTTTTTAAACCAGTTTTCCTCCAAGGGGGGAAATTCCGCTTAATTTCTGGTATCGGAGTAACTTTCAATGTTCCCAAACTGTCCTGTCTTCGTCGTCATCTCCAATGGCATCCGGACCCCGCTACTTGGCATTCCAGAAGTTTCCATTCCCTCCATTTCCACTTAATTTATCCTCCGTGTCCCTGGCACGTCCCTGCTGCCGCCCTGTTTGACTGGCTTTGGGAGCGTAAAGGACTTTGTGACCCGACTTTGGGTTCCTGCCCTGGGGCCGTAGTTACCTGGCAGAGACGAGTAGGAAGCGGGGTCAGCCTGCGACGCATTCCGCCGACACCTCGGGTCCCGGCACCCGCCAGCGGGGGACGCCTCGCGGGCTGCACGGCGCGGGCACGGCCCTGGAGCGGTGGCCCCACTCGCCCTCGGGGCTCTTGCTCCCACTGGCTCCGCTCCGGCCGCTGCCTGGCCGAGCCCGGCCCGGCCGGTCTACGGAGTGGCGGTGGCCCCGAATGACCGTAGCGCACGATGACACGTAGCTGTCCCCCGGTAGGTAGGCGCGGACCGCAACAATAAACTGGGATCACGGAGCCCATAGGCTGTGGCGGTTTTATTTTTAATGCTTGACCTGCTCGTATTGTGAAAAGTCACATGTCAAACTCTCGTGGTCTGTTTATTGTCCTTTGTATCAATGTGTTACACCCCTGAATCAGAAAGTGTCTGCTCGTGCGACGGCAGCACCGGGAAAGAAAGGGTGTCCTGGAAGACGGGGAAGAAATGGCTTTTCCCTCCATCGGTCACAGTTTGGCTGCATGGGGAACGGCACATTACCAGAACCACACAAAGGCAGCCCGTGAAGGGACAGTAATTTTCAGGGAGTGAAGACATGCTAGCAGGCTGACAAGCAGAAAACCGACACCCCGTTTGCGTAAATTTCTTCAAAAACGCAAGCACGGCCACCACCTGGGCGCCCTCCCACAGGGCGCTGCCAGCAAGGCGAGTCCCCGCGGGTCACCGTGCCCACGGGGGCGGAAAGCAGCCGTCTGCTTGCCGAGAATGATCTCAACGTTTTTCCTGTTAGAAGCCGTCAGATTTAAAGTGAGCCAGCCTGCGAAGCAGTGTGGTCGGGGGCCCGAGCCCCAGTGGGACAGGCCTGACCAATAGAGCACAGGGATCCCCCTGGAGGTCCCTGAGGATCCCGCCCAGCCACCCAGGCGACGGGGAGCCGTGCCAGGAGAGTGGGTGCGGTTGGCCTCCCAGAGTGGTGCTCTGGGTGTTAGGAAGGTGCCGAGCCGGCGCTCAGGGCGCCTGCAGCTCGGCCGCGGGGGTGACTCCCGCAGGAGTCAGCTTTGTTTAGTGTCCGGATTCCCTGGTTCCTCACGGCCTTGCTCCCCGTTGCGGTGTTGCTCCGCTCGGTGCTCGGGCCCCCGCAGCTGGCCCGGTGCTGGGGTGGCGCAGAGGTGCCCGAGCCTCTCGGGGGCCCTCTGGAAACCACGCCCCCCTGCCGGCGGGACGGGCGGAGCCCGCTGGGTTGCGGTCCCACAGAACCGGTGGCTGGCCGCAGGGACTCGGGCCAGGTCCTCGGTGGGGGACTTGCTGTTTGTGCTTGGACGGAGCCCACCCAGGTGACACCTGCATCCGACGCGCAGCTCACTCACACGGAGCGTGAGGCCCAGGTGTGCACCGCCCACGCAAAACCCCGGCGCTCGGTGAGCTGCTGGTTCGCAGCCCTCCGGGCCCCGACCGCAGAGCCTCCCCAGAGCGTCTGAAGGGCGGGCTCCCTGGACGGGCCAGCGGCTGGGGCTTGGCCGCCTGTTTTAGTCTCACGGCATACTTTACCCGGAACCTCCTTTTTAATCTTTCTCATCTAGAACATTCTTTTGAAACGTCTTGCTAAAGTCTCATCAGACACGGCTTTTCAGGTTTCTGTAGACGGCAGCATTCCTTACCTGTTTCATACACAAAGTTTTCTCCCAAAAAGTTTATTTGTCACATTGAAGGTACAAAATCAAATACACAGGCCCTGGCCCTGACCCCCGTGGACATGTTCGCACAGACGAAACCCACAGAGAAGCGTGTTCCCGCGCGGCTCACCCCTGGACGACCGGGCCTGAGCCGGGCAGGCCGCATGCACACGGTCTCCCACGAGTCCCCGTGCTGCCGGGGGTCACGGGTGGGCGCCCTGGCTCTGTCCTGCAAGGTGTTACATCGGGGACGGGCACACCTGCAGGTTTTGGTATCAGTGGGGGTCCATGGAACCAGCCCCCCAATACCAAGGGACAGCTAAGTTCTGGGGAGTCACAAGTTACGAGTGAACTTCTGACTGCATCGGGGGTCGGCACCCTCACGTCCACATCGTCCGGGGGCAACTGCAGGGCCACTAACACTCCTGAGTAAAAAGCAACATAATATCTAAACGACAAACTCGGTTCTCAGGCGCATTGCCAAATGCAGGTCATTTTCACTTTATCATTTGAAAGCACGGAAACAGGTGTGTCACAGGAGTCAGGGAATGAGCGCGTAGACGTGCAACACGTGCGCGTGGACTTCCCAAAACATTCTGTGGGGACCTAGGCGGGCCTGGCGATCAAAGTCTGGGCGCACTGACCATGAGGACCCGTGAGTTACGAGAAGACGCTTTACAAGGTTGGCCCAGGGCGTCAGCTGCCCAACACCCCGGGCGAGCACGCCCACTGCGGCTCGGCGGGGGTCGCGCAGCGTGTGCCTCGCTCCGGCAGGCGTCCCGCGACGGCCTCACAGCAGCAACACACCGTGCGCGCCGCCCGCGTTTCCGTGGGAGAGGCTCTGCGTGCCCCGTCCACCCTGGTCCGGGAGCGCGCGCCCCATGGCCTCCCGGCGCGGGCGCGGGCGGGGGCGGGCTCAGCAGAGCAGCAGCCCCTCCTTGGCGGCCAGCCGCTGCCTGTGCACCCTGTCCTGCTGCAGCTCCTCGTGGCTCGGGTGCCAGAGCTTCGTGATGACCCTCTCGATGTTGAGGGCATACACGGTGTGCGTGGGGATGACCTCCCGGTGCACCTGGAATCAGACACGAGCGCACCCCCCGTCACAGGTCGGCCCCGCTCACGGGGGAGACCCGCGGACCCGCGGACCTGACTCCCGTGCCGGGCGCACCCTGGACCCGCTCACGAGGACCCCGGGAACACCAGGGTTCGGAAACAGGAATGGGGGACGAGGGCATTCTTCTTTCCTTTTCTGTTTCTCTCTGGGAGGCGGGGTGGGGGGGAGGCGGGGTGGGGGGCCCGGTTAGAAAGGACCGCTGGGCCGAGGGTGGGGACGAGCTCGGCTGAGTGGCTCTCACAGCAAAATGCAGCCCGAGAGGCCGGGCTGCGGGCGCGCCCCCTGAGGGGCAGGCGTTACCTGCAAAGCTTCGAAAAGGTCGTGCATGTTCACGGGAGGCAGGGACGCGGGCAGGGTGTCCCCGGAGCAGGCCAGCAGGAGCGCGGCCTGCCGCTCGGCCTCGTCGGGGTGCGGGCGGGGCGCGGGGTTCTGGCCGGCACCGGGAGCGGGGGCAGCTGCAGGGCTGAGAGCGGAGAGTTTCAGAAACAGCCCCGCAGCCCGGAGGTGGCACCCGAACGGCAGGGCGGGGGGCTGGGGCCACCCTGGCTGATGAGACCTCCCAGGGAGGCGGGGACCCAGTCATTCCTTCGCTAGCGCGCACACGAGAGCCTGCAGTTTTCCTTGTTAAAGGCAGCCCGTCCGTCAGGCGGGGCCCAGAAAGGAGAACAGCTCCGCGCCCTCCTCCCGCCACCCCGTGGAGACCTCCGCGACGCTGGGCACCAGAGCCAGAACGGTGCCCTGCCCTGGGAATGCCTCTGGTTGGAAAAACGTGACCGACCTTCGTTCAAGGGAAATGAAACGGAAAAGCACGCCTTGGAGAGAACGTGGGTGGCACTGGAAACAGGAGGGTCGGAGAGAAGGTAACGCCTGGCACCGAGGCGGCCGCGGCAGGAAGGCGCGCCAGGGCGGGGCCCGGCCTTGCCAGCTCCCAGAGCGCCCCGGGCACAGCCAGCGGGGGGCAGGCTGGGCCTCTGCGCCCTCCCCCAGGACGGGGCCGGCACAGCTGAGTGGGCCACGCGGACGGGCCGGTCCGGGATGCTACCCCAGGTTTCACCACCACGGGGACCCCTTTCTTGGTTCATTGTTCTCTGGAAGAATGACTTACAAATAAGAACAATGACCCCAAACACACAGGCCCGCAGGACGCCCAGAACATGGATGTTGCCTGTGTGACCTACCTGGTGAGCCCAGGCCGGGGCGCCGCCCTTGCACGCGGGCCCCGAGCCAGGTCACGGTCTGGAGACCGGAAGTGGGCGCGGGCCCCGCCCCACCGCCTGCCCCGGGGAGTCAGCACATCCCCACTCCTGCTCCTCGCCTGCCGCTCTTCACCCGCACCCCTCCCGCCGGCCGCCCCACACGCCCTGTCTCCCCGTCCCCAGAACCAGACACACAAAGTCCAGTGCCTGGAGAGATGCAGTCACTTGAGCTACCACGATGTTATGTTTCTTTCCCAAAGGCTTACAATTCGGACAAGATATTCTGGGAAGTGGCAGAGCGGACACAGACTGCGCAGGGACGCAGGCACCCCGGTCGTCTCAGACGGCGTGACTCACGGCGCCAGGAGACCCGGGGCCCGGATCTGTGCGGCAGCTGCAGGAGCCACGTGGCGCCGCCCGGCGCAGGCCAGTCCTTGGAGCTACTGCTGCCCCCGCCACAGAAGAGCACTGCCACCCGCCAGTCCCCACGAGGAGGCGGCGTGGGGAAGTACAACCGCGCCGCGCTCCGGGGCCCGCCGGCTCCCGGACCCCAAACCCGGCTCCTCGCCGCGGCTGGTTCCGCAGAGCAGTACCACCACCTGGAAGGCCAGGTGCAGGCCTACGGACACCTTTCAGTCGGTACCTTTCTATCAGGCTGTTGTACACCATGACGCTGTTCTTCAGGTATGGCTGCGGGGTCACGTTGCTACCAAAGGCGTATTTAAAGTGCCCGTCACGGAGCCGGTAAGCTTTCCTTCTCGACACAACGGATGCCAATATGTCTTTAAGGTGGTTCTGTAAAAACAAGGAAAAAAGCCCAGCGTGAAGTCCCGCTTCAGGGCAAATCCTAGGCCTTCCACTGACTCACTCCCATTCGCCGGCGTTTAGTGGCTGGGGATGGGGACAGGCCGGGGCGGCGGGGCACGTGGAGGTTCCCCGAGGAGCCAGAGCCAGACCGGGGAGGGGCGGGGGCGGGGCGGCGTGCTGCTCCCGTCGTTTTCCGTAAGAAGAGCTTGTCCTACACGAACTTGATTTTAAAAGGCTTTATCTCTACATTGGCTCCTCTCTCTCAAAACTAATTTTCAGATAGCTTTAAATGAAAGCATACAAATAAGTGAGTAATTTTCTAGGAAAGGGGCAGCCCCGCCTTGAAACTTGCTTTAAAACAGGGCAGAAAGTTTCATGGCCTGGGACTTGCTGGTTACGGCGCCCGATCCACTGAAATCCTTCCACGTGGCTTCTGAGAAGCCCTGCTAACGGACGTACAGGACAAAAACGAAGCAGCAGGCATTCAGCCCCGGTCCACCTTTGTGAGGGCCAAGCGGGTGTGGCGGGCTGGCGACCGTGACGGGAGCCCCTGGCCCCAGCCGCCGCCGCCGCGACCAGGGCTGGCGTTGCCCTCGTGCTGGTGAGGGCGCCTCCCGCGGGACTTCGGGGCGCAGCGTGTGGCTGCCGCACACGGAGTTCACGTGGAGCTTGTAACTTGGGATCTTTGAGGCACAGGTGAGGAAAGGGGACCCAGCGTCCCCGGAGCGCCTGGGCCCGCCGGCCCCCGCAGCCACTCTGTCCGACGACCACACGGGAACACAGCACGGGCGAGCGGCCCGCTGCACAGGCGCCCGGCCTGGTGCTCTGCGCGTGCCGGGCGCAGCGACGCCCATGACGTTCACCCACTGGACCCTCGATCTCAGTGCTTCCCGGGAAAAGCCTGCCCTGGTGACCAGGAAGTAACCTGACGTAAAAGGAACCTGGAGGCTCCGCCCGCCGAGCGAGGGCACGGGTTGGACACGGGAGGTGTCTCTCTCCCAGAGGCAAACAGCGGGAACGACGGCAGTTCTGAGAGCAGAGGGGAGCCCGCGGTCTCCTCGTTCAGCGGCGGCTGCGACAACACACGCAAGCGCGGCGCAGGCGACCAGGCCGGCGTACCGCCCGCCACACACCCACCTCCACGGCGTAGACCACGGCGGACACGGCCTCCTCGGCGACGTTGTCCAGGCCGTGCTCGTAGGCCGTCACGATCATCCTGCCCTCCAGCTGGCCCCGCGTGGGCAGCAGCATGGTGTGGGAGCACAGCTTCAGGTCGTCGTCATCTTGGGGGTCCTTTGCCACAAACTGCTGGGCTCCCGAGAGGGGGTTCTGAGGCTGGAATCTGTGCTGAGGAAGAGAAGTTTTCAAAGTTATTTGTCACCGCGGTGAGGGACGGGACAGCAACGCCGGAAACCGACGCGCTGGACTTGACAGGCCACACCCAGGCCACCGAGACCCGGCCGCAGGGGCCAAAAGACAAGCAAGCCATGTGCGCACAGTCACAAGGTCGCACATGTGGCCAGGGAGCAGTGGAGGCTGTTTTGGGCAACGAGGGTGGCGCTCTCAGGGCTTGAGCTTTAGCGTCTCTGTGGTCACAGAGGAGATGGCTCCGCGCCTAAAAAAGCCGCTGAGGAGGTTTAAAACTACTGCCAGACGAGCCAGGGCACGTGAGGCGCAATTCGGGTGAGCAGGCTCCGAACGCGCAGTCAGCCTTCGGCACAGCCCTGGGACAGCCTCGCTAACCAACGTCAGAGACCCGCCGACGCTCCGGCCGACGCTGCGCGGTGACTGCTTAGCCGCTCTCAACTTCGACGTGCAATTCTCTTTCACAACATCGTCATGCCAATTTATAAATTCCTTCTTCTCAATCTCTTCCTGCTCACAAAACCCCCACCTTCCCCGGGCGTGTCAGAGGGCCCGACTCTCCCTCCCACGGTCACGGGGAGGTCCAGCCCTGGGGGCTTTGGCTGAAGCCCAGCGCATGGCACTTTGTAGCGCGTACGTTTGAAGTCTGTATTATTAAAAAAGCAACACTTGTGGGTTTTTTTTTTTTTCCATTTTCCAGGTAAAAAACCCTGCGTTTTTACATGAGAGAGGTCTGCTTGAACCAAGTATGCCTCTCTGGGGTTCCCGTGGCCACCAGATTGAACATTACCGATGTAAAACTCAGAGCAAAGGTAGAGATGATGTTAATCCATAAACCATACGTTAAACCATACATTGGTTGATGTTAACCCATAAAATGGGTACTTCTGGGAAACTCTGTTCCCTAGATAAAAACTGGAAAAACCAGTCACTCTGAAATGTGCACACACTTTACAGCCAAATGCCTCTGAGGCTTCTCTGCGGAGCCCAAAGGCGCGGGCCCGCTGGGCACTCCGGAACGGCAGGGTCCCGGCCCCGAGGACAGGAGCCATTCCAGAAAAATATCTCAGGGCAGAGAGAACACAGGCGCTGCTGCCGAGTCACTGAGAACTCACCAGGTTCTAGTGGTAACAGTTAACGCTTAGGCCGTAAAACCCGCGTTAGAGAACCTCGGGCCCCGCCCCCGCGTCACAGACAGTAGTGCCTTTCCTCCCCCCAGCAAGATGCCCCCATTTCTTCTGACTCGATTACCAGTGACTTCATGTTCATTTACAAACGTAAACCGGTCTTTACCAAGGGCTACTGAAGAACCACCTACATCAAATTTCTGACGAACAGACGAAAGCTTCTTCCGCCCCTTTGGTTTTCCGGGTTTGGTGGCAGGGCCGCCGGGCCAGGGCAGAGAGCCGGCGCCCTCTGGGGGACAGAAAGGAACAGCCGTAAGAGAAAGCACAGGCAACTGCTACGTCCGTTTCTGCTTGGGGCTAAAAAAGGAGGAAACGCTCCAGCAATGTAAATAAATAATACATGCTTAAATTCAGAGCTTCTCTTTCCACCTCTCTAAACAAAACCAGACGCTCCCTCCACGTTGTTTTCTGGCTGAGACCAGGGTGACCCCTTCACGCAGGCAGCCCAGTCGCCGGTGTCTTCAGTGACCGCTCGCCGGGGGCTCGGCCGGCTCCCCGGCGGCAGCGGCCTCGTTCAGGACGGCGGGCTGAGCGGGGGCACTCACCTCCTCTCTCCTTGGGACCCTGGCAGAAATGACACTAAGGGGCGCGCCGAGCAGAGGTGACGAGGACAGCGCGCGACGGACAAGGCGGGGCCTCAACAAATTGCCAGGATGGGCTGAACAGGTGCTGACGGGCAGAGTAGACCCGTGCCAGCCATGGCCCGGGCTAGTGGAACGTCACAGCGGGTCTAGGGACCGGCTGGTCCCTGGGGCCGGGGCGCTGATCGGCCCGGGGGACACTGGGAGGATCTGGACTCGGAGGAGGTGAGCGCAGAGGAGGTGAGCGCAGAGGAGGTGAGCGCAGTGGGCACCGGAAGGGCTCTGAAACACGCCCCCTCTCTCCCCCCCAGGACAAGCTCCGCACAAAACCGGCGGGGCGGCCTGTTCAGCAGCCATGGGACCGGCGGGGTTCTAAGTACAAAGGCCCACATTTCTATGTTTTACTTTTAATAGAAATCCTCTCTTTGGTGCCAGCCAATATTAAATAATTTCATTTTGAGAAAACATATAGTGGGTGTTGATGGAGAAATGATGTCAGATATCACTCCTTCCTCTAAGCTGGTGCTGAACCCAAGTCTCCTGACGCCCGTCCACCAGGAGGTACAATGAACCCGCTTTTTAACAAGAGCCCAGGATAAGCTTTATCATGGGGCAAGTTTTTAATGTATTCACTGCTTGTTTTTGACCAATGATAGACGTAGCTTGTACCATTAAGCTCCAAGAAATCTGGGACCCTTGGTGGGCGTTTCTACCTACGCCTATTTAGGCTGAAGCGATAGACTGAGCTGTGAGCTTCCTCCCACCTCCTGACAGGCTGCTGTCCAGAGCCTTTTGTTTCCCACCAGTGACCTGCCCAACACACACGCGGAAGCCTGAACCTGCCTCCCAGGCGCTGCCATCTCACCGGAGAACACCCGTGGCAGCCCGGCTGCCCACGCCCTCTGTCCACACACACCCCCTCCCTGCCCCCACCTCCTCCTCCGCCTCTTCACCCCGTGCCCAGCGCCACCTCGCCCCCCCCTCCGCCCCCGCCCTGCCCCCCCCTCTCAGGGCTGCAGCATCTACAGTCCAGCGGGTGGGGGTGGGGGGTCAAGGCCAAGACTCAGTGTGGGGCCAGGGAGGTTCCATACAGAAGCTGTATCTACATAGTAACATTCTCTCGGAGCCCCTGAAAGCACGCTGTGCGGACGAACACAAGTGTGTCACAGGAAGCCGAGGCCCAGCGCCTCGGCTGCCCTGCCTGCGGTCCTGCCCGTATTGCTGCCCCCTTACCTGGTGTAGACACCAAGATCTGGCAGCGCGTGAGGATAGCCAGGAGGAACTCGTTGTGAGAATGCACTGAAACGGAAGGGCGGCGCGGGTCACATACGCCATGTACACACCACCAGGAAACGACCTATTTCAGTCGAGCTTTTCAGGGCATTGGACGTCCCCGGTTCTGCCATCTCTGCAGTTGACTCTCAATCCCCACCTTGACAACATGACCTTAGGTACCGCTAAAACCAAACTTTTATTTCCTCAAGTGAACAGACTTTCACGTGCTGCAGATCTGGGAAAACTCCCCGGGCAATTATTTTACCATTATCCTGCGTGAGAAGCCGATGAGCTTCAAGGTCAAACTCTTCTTTGCTGATCTTCTGCTTGAACCACAGCTTTAAGTTGGCCCAGTATCTGCAGAGGTAGAAACCGTCCTGAGAGCCGCAGGCATTGCTTCCTCCCCAAGTTCACCTCCCCTGCCCCGCCCCCAGGAAAGGACGTTTTACTCTCCCTTGTGTCCGTCTTCTCATCTATCAAATGGGGCATAATTGCACCTCGCGCACATCCCTGTCGTGAGGTCTGATGAGACGGTACACTTGGAGCGCTTCAAAGGTGTTGCGCAGGTGCCCGCCACTATTATTCAACGGCGGGTCTGTCTACTTTCCGAAGTTGCCGCCCGTGCTCTCACCGACGGCGCCTGCACCCACCGAGCGCAAGGCCTCCGCCTCCAGGAAGCCCTCCTGGGAGCGCCGCGCACCTCGCACCGGGCCCGCTCCCGCGCGGCAGGCCCCCGGCGTGAAACGCGCCTTTCCTGCCCCTCCCACGGCAGAGTCCGGGTCCCGGGGGAGGCAGAGAGGCTCGGCCTGCAACACGACAGGCCCCGCCGCCCGCCCGGCGCAGAGGCCCGACCGCCCGCGACGCCAGGCTGCCCAGGCCCGGGCGGAGGGGGCATCTTCGGGCGGCCCGGCGACCCAGGACCGGGGAGCCCCGCGCGGACCGCTCGGGCTGCGCCGCCGACTCTTACTGTTTCACGTTGTCCCCCAGGGCCTCGCTCAGGTTCTTCTTGGCCGCCTCCAGCTCGCTCACAAAGGTCGCCATTGCTCCCTACTCTCGGCCCGACCGCAGACCGCCCCGCCGCCCCGACCAACAACCGAAAAACCAACGCGGCGGAGGCCTGGCGCCGGAAGCCACGCGCCGGAGGCCCTGGTCTCTCCCTCCGGCCCCGCCCCCCGACGCTCTGGAGACGTCCGTTTGGTTGCCGGCTCCGCCCGCCTGCGTGAAGAGAAAGGGCGGAGCCAACCCCGCTGCCTTCTCGGCCCCGCCCCTGATCACGTGATGCCCCCGCGCGGCGGGGCTGCAGCGCCGCCTGCTGGGCTGGCGCGTCCCGCCCCTTCAGCCGGCCGCGGGCTCGCAGCTCCGATGGCGGCCCAAGCTGTCACCTGGCCTGCAGGAGTAGCTCGCTCTCTGGGTCAAAAAGCGCGAGCGGCATCCTCTGCCTTCGCTGCATTTTCCGCCGAGCACTCATCATCTGATAGGCCATTTAATGGAACTTGTTACTGTTACGCCTCCTCCAACTAAAAGGTAAGTTCCGCGAGGCCAGGACCTGCCGCCTCCGAGCCTGGCGCGGAGCACTGTTCGCTGAGCGAGTAAATTATGACAAGTGGAGACATTGCACAGAGGATAAGAAAGGAAAGAATTGTTCTACCACCCCCTCAAACTCTTAACTGAGCTCCCCTTGCCACGCCCCATCGTGTAGAATCATACTCTTATCTTCGGTTGTGAATCTTGGTGAGTTTTTAAACTTAATAATATGAATATTTTCCCCTGGTGTTACATGGTCCTTTTATTCCATTTTTTAAAACTCCTCTCCTGGGGACATTTTTTTCATTGCTTTGAGAGAGAGAGAGAGAGAGAGAGAGAGAGAAACATTGCCGTGAGAAAGAAATATTGTGAGGAATCCAGTCCGTGACCCTTTGGTTTGCAGGTCAAGGCTCCAAGCAACTGCGTCGCAGGAGCCAGAACTTAGTCCCAATTTTAACGACAGCATCTTTAAGATTGCTTTCATCGTTTCTCTATGGAAAGTGACACAGTAATACATTCGATGCACACCATTTAGAACTATAAATATAATCATGTACACATACCATGCAAAAGGAAAGCCAGCCCAAATGTGTATTTATTTTCATATGGCTGTTTTACTTTTATATCCCTAAACTCTTGGCCCCGACTTGATGAGCTCTTTCCAAGTCTGTATTTAATGGAATACCGGTGTTCTGGGCAGGAAGATTGGATGTTGATGGCATTGTGAGATGTCTCAGTTTGGACACTGTTTTTTTTCTTTTTTATTACTAATCCCATTATTTAGAAGTCTTATTGAAGTGCAATTCTATTCATGGGCCCAGCTTAAAACCCTCTGAAACTTTGCAAGTACACTTGACCCTCAACAGTGTGGGTTTGAACCGCACGTCCACTTATACAGAGATTCTCTTCAATAAATACAGCTGGCTCATTGTACCCGTGGATTTCCCATCTGTGGATTCAACCAACTACAGATGGGAAACCACATTTTCACATTTCCAACCGCCGACCCCCAACCAGGGAGCTAAAGTGCTGTTTTCAACCTGCAGTTGGTTGAACCCGGGTATTCAAAGGGGCGAGTGTAGGGTCAAAATTTAAACATCGGTGTCTGATGGCACGAGGCCGAGGGTCCCTCGCCCCGTGTTGTTCAAGAGCCAGCTGTGCCTCGTTTACTCGGGACACTGGCCAAGCGCCACAGGCTGGCACGTGGACAACAGACATTTATTTGCTACAGTTCTGGAGGCTGGAAGTCCGAGGCGAAGGTGGCGGTAAGCGCGGCTTCTGGAGAGGCCTCTCTGTCTGGCCGGTAGGTGGCCACATCTCTCTCTGTCCCTGCATGGCCTTTCCTCAGGGCGGGCCACTAATTAGCTTCCGAGGACACGAAGAGGCAGCCACCTGTGGGCTCTGTCCCGCAGGTCCCTGCAGGCCGTTTCTGTGCCTGGAAGGGAGTCTCGAAGCAGCGCCTCACATTCTGTCGCCTCTTCTTCCTCCAGGGGCCCGACGGGGAAGCCCCCCTTTGTTCTGGGGCCGAGTAAGCGTGTGGCAGCCGCAACGAGGCGGAGCAATGGCTAGAAGAGCCCCCGTTGAGCATGAAGTTAGCGCTGGGCAGGATAACATCAGAGGGGCTCATGGGACCATCCTTCACACTTTTCAAAGCACAAGCTATGGAGCTGCACCTGTTGGCGAAGCCCGCCTTCAAACCTCTGGAAGCAGCTGGCCAAACGGCGAGTGGGAAAACCCGGTGGAGCCTTTGGCCCCTGCTCGCAACGTGGAGGCGACGTCTCCGAGGCCCCGGAACCACTTCTGTGTAGAGCTGGAGGTCATGCACAGGGCAGCTCTTTGGCGCTTGGGGCAGGTGGCGATTCAACACACCCTGTCACAGAGGTTATTAATGACGTAACAAGACCATGCCGGACGGAGACCAGGCTCCGGAGCACCCTGCGGACGGCGGGAAAGCCGCAGGTGAGCCTCAGAGGACTCAGCCAGGGCTCGTTGGTTGACATCCAGGGGTTACGGCGGCAGCTGTACCGGCGGGTGCGCCCGGGCCCCTGCCGGAGTCTGCGGCCGCTGTCCACGCCGGTCGGGCAGAGCGGGCGGGCTGGCAGCCAGGACCCCCTCCAAGGTAAGGAGCCATCTGGCACGCCTTTTGTTCGCGTCATGCCTCATGTTTTTACAGTTGTATTGCTCTTGTAAAGACATCTTTTTCTTCTGTTCCTTTCCCCCCTATTGTGTCCTCTAATTGGTTCTGCGGGTGCGCCGGGCCGGAACGGGGCCGAAGAGCGTAGTGTGAAGGGGCAGGCGCCGGCCTGTCGGCCTGAGGCTGCGCCCCGGCCTTTCCTGTCCGGGCTCCATGGCTCCGGGCAAGGGGCTACATCGCCCTGCCGCAGCGTCCACCCCCGCGGGGGGTGGTTGCCGTTCTTAGCCGCTGCCCTAAGAAGGACACTGTCACACGTCAGAGGGCGTGAGAGCCCTGGCACGGGGCCAGGCGCGCAGTAAGCATCAATGTGACGGCTGTTATTAGTGTCCTGCTCTAGAGTATAGCGATGCTGCTAATCTCTTTTTAATTCTGTCTATGTGAGGATCTTCTTAGATGTTCTCTGTGGACAATGCTACTGTCTGCAGTTCGGCAAAACGTATTTTCTTCTCAATCCTTAGGCCTAGTTTCATTGTCTGGAGTTTTTTCTATCGGCCAGACGAGCACTCTCCAGTGGAACATCCTACCCCGATTGAGCAGCTTGTCACTGAGTGGTCCAGTCCCGTAGCCATGTTGGGATGCTCAGCCCTTGAAATATGGCTTGGGAGACCCAGGAAGGGAATTTTCCATGATGCTTAAACTTGAAAAGCCACCTGTGCCTGGTGGCTGGGGGCAGCCAGACCGAAGCGCGCAAGGCCAGGCCCTGTTACAGGAGCAGCGGTGTGGCCCTAGCCCTAAAGTGTCACGCACACCTCACCGTCACGCGTGGCTTCGGCCGCACGCTCGGGAGGATGCCCTCCGCCCCGGGCTGCGGAGCGAATCCACCGTGAATTACCACGCAGTGCGTCCGCGGTGTGCCTCTGCTCCGAGGTCACCTGGTTTTTCCCCTTTACTTTTCCAACGTGTTGAATTACACGGATAGATATTTTCTGAGGTTAAACTGCTCTTGCATTGCCGGGATAAGCCCTCCTTGGCTGGGGTGCCTTTTGAAACTGCTCTGCTGCGTTCGCGTTGAAGGAACTGTGGCCAGGGGCCTTGTGTCTGTGGCCGTGAGTGGCGTTAATGCCAGACCTCGGAGTGCAGCCTGGTCCGGGCGTGAGCGTTGGGGCCGGAGCGAGCCCGGTGCTTCCACACTTTCCTGTTCCCTTGAAACGAGGCTTAAAAAGCGAGGGGCTTGTTTGTTCTTTGAAAGGTGGAGAAAATTCCCCGCGAATCTGTCTGAGCAGGCTCCGGTGGAGAGCAGGACAGGTTTTAAAAATTTTTCCAATTCCATTGCCTGGTTATTTGGTGTCCCGTGTGTTTTGGGTTTGGTTTTTTTTTTTTTTTCTTTCCTTGAGTTGGTTTTGTTCGTTGGTGCGTTTTTCCGCGCACGGTTCCGTCTCCTCTGGGTTGTCGGCGCGCTGGTTGTGGCTGCTCAGGACGGGCCCTGGGGGAACGGGCCCCCGAGGCGAGCAGCGGCGCCCTTCTTTGCGTATCTGTGCACCCGAGACACGTCACAATTTCCGGTCACGTCGGAGAATGGCCTAATTGGCGGCGACTGGATTCCAAAGACGACGCAGGGCGCTCACGTAATGAAGCTAAGGCTGGATTGCGGGCTATTTGGGGGGCGCCCCTTTCCCGACGCTTCTTTCTTTAGAGTCGGTTTAAGTTCCTAGGTTCAGGCACCAGCGCGGGCGCCCGTCCTCCTTCCGCTCTCGCGCGGTCGCGGGTCTGGCAGTCTGGGCCCAGGCCCCCGAAAGCTGCGCGCCGACGCCCCCAGGGCAGCGCCCAGCAGTTTCTGCGCGGAGACCGCGGACCCGCTGCCCGGGCAGCCCGGGGCGGCGGCGACCTCGCGCGCGTGTCGGGAGCCCTCAGCTGTCCGCGCGCTGGTTTGGCCCCGGCGCCCTGGCCCACGTGGAGTCTCGCGGGCGGCGACCCTCGTGCGCCCTGGGCTCCCTCAAGCTTAGGAACCCCGCAGGTTTGGCGGCCCAGGTCCCGCGGGGGGACCGTGGTGCCAGCGCCTGGCTCCCAGAGGCGGCTCTGGGAAGGTCGGGGTCTCCGCGTCGCGTGCCCATGGATTGCAGATGTCGCCCCCAGCAAGGAAGCGGCGTCTTTCTGCGGGTCAGAGCGGTGCCGTGCCCAGCACTAGAGCAGATGTCTCAGAGAAACGGTTGCGACGATGCAGAGCAGGTATCTGCCGCCCCTCCCCGAGCGGTCCCCGCGGCACCTGGAGGGAGAGAGGCCGCCCGGGAGCGCGGCTGCGCCTCGCCGGCTGCCGTCTGCTCGACCGCCGCCAGAGGGCGATGCGCCCTCGTCCTGCGTCCCCGGCTCCGCGGTCCGCAGTGCGCGGGCGGCTGCCTGACCTGTGCGCATCCCTCCGTGTTACAAGGGTCCTGGGCCCGCCGGCCGTCCAACGGTGAGGACGCTCCGACCAGCAGTGTCGGAGCAGGGCGCCCGCTCCAGTG